AAACAAATCTTAATGAAAAATGGAATGGGAGAGGGAGTAGGAGATGGGAGGGGGGGTTGGAGGGCGGGAATGGGGGGAAGAACCACTATATTCCTAAAAGCTTTACATATGAAATTTGTATTCATTAAATAAAAACCTTAAAATAAACATTATCATATTACAAGCCAAAAAATAATTGCACTGTTGAAATGAACAAAAACAAATTTCAGAATGTCATGTACTGTTACCATTTCTAAAATTAAAATGATCTATTAATACATGTCTATGAAATATATATAATAATTATATATAATACCTATATGAAACAAAAGTGTAAAAGGATAGACTGTATATATATATATTAAATTCATGATAACAGTTACCTCTAAAAGGAGAGGAAGAAGATAAAAGAGTGAAACGGGCTTCAAATTTGTTAGGATTTTTTTTTCTTTGTTGTGTTTTGTGTTTCTTAAAATTTTGTTTTCAAAAATCTTCTATCAAAAGTTGATAATAAAGGGGCTGGTGCAGTGGCGTAGTGGGAAAAGCCACTGCCTGCAGTGCTGACATCCCATATGGGCGCCGGTTCAAGTCCCAGCCACTCCACTTCCAATCCAACTCTCTGCTATGGCCTGGGAAAGCAGTGGAAAATGGCCCAAGTGCTTGGGCCCCTGCACCCATGTGGGAGACCTAGAAGCAGCTCCTGGCTCCTGGCTTCGGATCAGATCAGCTCTGGCTGTTGTTGCCATCTGGAGAGTAAGCCAGTGGATGGAAGACCTCTTTCTCTCTCTCTCTCTTTGCCTTTCAAATAAATCTTAAAAAAAAGCTTTGAAAATATTTTTCAAAATTTAATTCCTTTTTTTTCAGAAACTTTTTGAAGTACCCTCATGAGCTTCTTTAATATATATTAGATATTTTTTATAATATTAGTTATGTGTATGAGTTTTATATATATATCAAGAAGTGGAATTCATTGTTGGGTCATAGTGTTTTAGCTTTGTTTGACTTACTCCAAAGGGAGTTCTTGTCCCATCTTCATCAACACTTCCTTTGACTTCACTTTCAAGTGTTTATAAATCTGGGGTGAAATTGATCATACCATTTTACTGCACATCTTGATTAGTGGTGAGCATTTTCTATGTGCTTTTTGGCTATTACAGTTTACATTTTTTCCGAGTTGCCTGTTTATATCCTTTGCCTGTTTTTTCTTGATGGGTTATTAGTCATTTTCTCATTGACTTGTAAGCAGCTCCTTGAACTCTACATACTATTTCTTTGATGAGTTTTATATGCGGTTAATATCTGTCTCCAGTCTATGACTTATCCTTTAATTTTATTGGTAGGGTTCTGCTTTTACAGACATGTTCCGTTTTTAATGGAGTCAAAATTAACAATCTTTTTTATTTGTAACAAGCTAACCCCAAATGAAGGCAAGACCAGGTAAACCTCTATCTTGGGGTGTCCTCCAGGCTCTTGGCAAGTGAGTCGTTGAGCACAGGTGTCCTTATAATTGGGACAGGCTGTGAATAATTAGCAGCACCCCGCTCCTATCAGGTGTCAGAATGCTCTTGCCTTCTGGAAGGAGTTTTGGATGAGGAGTCATCTCCTCCTGGCTCCGTTCCTACTGGTGTGACTTCTGAGGCGTGGCAGAATGTGCACTGGGCAGGCAGCAGAAGAGCCCTGGCTTCCAGCTCTACCACTAATTCCATTTGAGCCTCAGTTTCCTGATGTGTTAAAAAAGGATGATGCAGCTTCCCAGGGCTGTTGGGTTCACACCGAATAGGGGTGAAATGTTTTTATAAGATGGCACATTAAATCACCATCTTCTGTAGACTTAAGAGTTCATATCTAGAAGAAGAGGAACGGAACTAGGCGTGAAAGTATTGTGCCGTCACTGCAATAGGCTGTGATTAGATGACTGGTGGTGAGCACAGATCTTCCAAATAAGATGGAGTGTCAGGTGGCTCCGAGAATTATAGGGTTCTTGCTAAGGCCAGCTTCTGGAACAAGAAGAAGTATGATAAAGGGGCTAGCCCCTTTATAACAGCGCTGTAGCGTAGCGGGTAAAGCCGCTGCCTCCAGTGCCGGCGTCCCATATGGGCACCAGTTCAAGTCCCGGCTGCTCCACTTCTACTCCAGCTCTCTGCTAATGCACCTGGGAAAGCAGCGGAGGACAGCCCAAGTTCCTGGGCCCCTGCACCTGTGTGGGAGACCTGGAAGACGTTCCTAGCTCCTAGCTTCGTATTGGCTCAGCTCTGGCCTTTGTGGCCATCTGGGGAATGAGCTAGTGGATATAAGATCTTTCTCCCTATCTGTCTGTTTGTAACTCTACCTCTCAAATTAATAAAATCTTAAAAAAAAAAAAACACAACCTTAGTTCTGAAAGAGCTAAAGTATAATATGTATAGAGACATGTAGGTAAGTACTATAATAATATGCATTATACTTGTATATAATATATACTTATACTATGAAAAATACTTTATATAATAATATGTATTATTATATAACAGGAGTGAGTGTTTGTAGTATCTGTCTTGGAGTGTCTGAATTTGATACTTGTCTCTGCCTCCTGATTCCAGCTTCCTGCCAAGGGCAGCAGCAATGATGGGTCCCTGCCATCCACGTGAGAGACCTGCATTTAGTTCCTGGCTCCTGGATTTTGCCCTGCCCAGCCCTGGCTGTTGGGGGCATTTGAAGAGTGAACCAGCAGATGGTAGTGCCTGCTTGCGTGTGCTCGCTCACTCTTCTTTCTCTCCTTCTTAAATAAATAAATAGAATACTTTTAAAAGAACAAGCAACAGATATGTGTTCCAAGTAAAGATATATGGCATCTTCAAAAAACACATATTATTATTATTTTTTTTTTTTTTGACAGGCAGAGTGGACAGTGAGAGAGAGACAGAGAGAGAAAGGTCTTCCTTTGCCGTTGGTTCACCCTCCAATGGCCGCCGCTGCAGCCGGCGCACCGCGCTGATCCTGGCAGGAGCCAGGAGCCAGGTGCTTTTCCTGGTCTCCCATGGGGTGCAGGGCCCAAGCACCTGGGCCATCCTCCACTGCACTCCCTGGCCACAGCAGAGAGCTGGCCTGGAAGAGGGGCAACAGGGACAGAATCCGGCGCCCCGACCGGGACTAGAACCCGGTGTGCCGGCGCCGCAAGGTGGAGGATTAGCCTATTGAGCCACGGCGCCGGCTCAAAAAACACATATTATTAAAAAGAAAACTATGCATGGATATCAAAATTTTTGCACCAAGATAAACTTTTCTTTTAATTCATTTTTTTGGTGAACTTCTCCAAGTGCCTTTGTATGTGGAAAAAGTTTGGATGTGCCAAAGAAAGCTGTACAAGAGATAGTTGAATTGAAATTTGAAGGATGAACAGGAATTCGTCATTTTGAGAAAAGGTAGAAGACATACCAGACAGAGCAGCATATTGACTCAATCATTAATCCAGCAGATATTTGCTGGGTCCCTACTATGTGCCAAGTCTTGTAGCAGGTGCTGAGAGCAGAGCAGGCAGCCAGGGAAAGTGCCCTCCTGGAGAGAATCTGTCCCACCATCTACAGGGGTCCTCTCTCTGGACTGACCTGCGTCATCCTGTGCCTTTGAGCTCTTCTGTGAACGTGGGCATTCAGTGCCTCTGAGAGCCAGTGGAGCCGTTGCCCCAGCTCTCCTTGATCTAGGAGAACAGAGTCTAGGCTGTTGTGTGTGCGTGCGCATGCACCCGCGCTGAGGAGGTCGTGAGGGTTGTGTTTCTCAGTGTTTTGATCAAAGGTACACAGCTGTTACACGAGAATGCCTTGGAAATGTAATCTGACTGCCCGAAGGCACTGACTGGGCCTCACCGCCTGCCTCAGGCCTCAGCTTGACTGAGGACCTTCTTTGGCTGCACACCCTTTGCATGGTCAGATAGTAACACCGGTGTCTGGCAGGTGAAATAACAAGGTAAGAAAAAGTAGAAATGGAATAAAGACTGGAGGAAGTGTCCTAAATCCCCACACACCATTATGTAGAGCTTTTATAGAGATCAGTAGGAAGAAATGCAGTGTTACACAGAGATGAGCAATAAATCATGCAAAGGGTCATTTTATGGCAAAACTGCAACTTCTACTTCCAGCAAGTTCTCCACTGGTTCTTAGGGAGAGCTAGAAAGGAAATGAACTTCTTGTCTAATTGGGTTCTGCTTATTCACCTGCTGAGTCAACTTGCTATTTTAAAACAAGCCCTCTTCTCTAGCTGACTGGCTGCAGGGACTGACTGACACAAGGTTTGTAATTTTAGAGAGAGAAGAAAGGAGGGAGGTTGAGGAGGGGAGGGAGAAGAGGGGGTGAGGATAAGTTTTGTCATTTAAAAATCTTTCTTTACATTTTCTTTTTGTTTTGTTGGTTTTAATTTTTGTTACATATGCTGTGGTTTAAAGAGACAGCTTTACAACAAACAAGAGCATCTATGCCCTCATTGCAATCTTGTCCCATGCCAGCCACCTTCACCTTTTTGCTGATTCATGTTTTCCTATATATTTACTTTTGCTTGCTCATTTCTTATCTGCACACATTTTTAAATAAAATACTTTACTCTTTTGTTTAGTTTTAGCCATTATATTGACTTGTCGCAAATGTAGAAATAATTTATTTCTCTTCACTACTCTTTCCTCAATGTCCCAATAAGTTATATTTAATTTTATGTGGCTTATTATTCAATGTTTTACCTTGGGATTTTGAAAATGTTATTCATAGATGAGCCACGTAGTCAACTATAATGAATGGTTTATATTCTGTATAAATTTTAACCTCCCCACCACCCAGGGTAAAAATAGCCATCTTCTTTTCTCTGGGTTTAGTTGTCTGCTTTTCTATGAATTTATCCCTCATTCAACCCCAGACTCTGATGGTGCTCCAACACTCCTCCCAAGGTGCTGCATGCAGCAGGTGTCAGAGCCGTTTGCGTTTTCCCTAAGGCGTCTCTCACAGCCTTCTGATCTCCTGCAGTCTGCCTGCACTTGATTCTAGAAACACAAGTGTTACCTTGAAATGTCTACTCACTGCTGCCTTGGCATTCCCTTGGTCTTCCCCCTCAATCTGGTGGAGCACCTCCTCTCTTCAGTAAGATACTTCTGCCTCAACTGTGCATACAGTTTCCTGGTCTAGACTCTCCCTGGGACTTAAACCCTAGTCTTCTGTCTTCTGCGTGGATGAGGAAAGAGCTCTCATTGGCTGTGTCAAGGCTGGGGTAAAGGGAAGGGTCTTGGGGCCAATTTCTTTAAAGGCTCTCAACTAATTCTCCTTATCTCTTTCGTTCCCACTGCCAGCAGCTTGAACAGCATAAATCAGATGGGCGCTCGCTTGCCCCTACTCCCAGTTTAGGATTCAGCTTTCTTAGCTGTGCTGTCAGGTACACCTGTCTTTTTGCTTCACAGCTCCCAACATCAACTTGCTGCCTTCTCCTGTCAGTTCTTGTCCTCATAGCTTTATGCTTTTAAAGAGAATCTCTCCACTATCATTTTAGAAGGTCTCTGAGAAGGATTAAAGTTAATAATATATGTTCAATCTGACAAGATTATTTTATTAGCCCAGAACACTTCTAAATTGGGGGTAAAGAGATACCATTCCTGTCACTGAATCCCAAAGATTAACTGAAGCCAAGAAATTAGCAAGCAGATGGTTGATCGCAGACTCCAGAATCGCACACTGTCACTTGCTCTGTGTCTTAGTCCATTCTGTGTTGCTATAATGAAATACCCAAGGCTGGGCACATGATAAAGCAAAGAAGTCTTTCGACTCATGATTCCGGTGATTGGAAAGTCCAAGCAGTGTGGGGCAAGCATCTCGTGAGCTCCTCTGGCTGCATCAGAGCCCCTCTGGCAGGTGGCATCACAGGCAGAGCACGTGCAAGAGGTGAGTGGGGTGTGCAGAATAGATCATATGGTGAGAAAGGAAGAGACCAGGGAGGGGCCAGACCTGCTTTTTTATAACAACCCGCTCTCATGGGAAGGAGTCCACTCTTGTCAGACCTACCGCACTCTGGGGGATCAGCACTAACCTCTTTATGAGGACAGGTGATGGTCAGTCACCTCCCACTGAGCTTTCAGCACGTGAACCTGTAGGGGATGATCCATACCCAAACCCCAGCATCCAGCTTCTGCCCTTTTGACTTTTACCTAACCTCCCCCAGCCTTAGTCTTTCACATCCGTACAGTAGAGATAATAATAGTGCTACTAATGAGCTTAAAGTCTGTATGCACATGGGACATTCTTGTGGTATCTAAATGCTCAATAAACGGAGGCACATTAAGGCATGAAAGGACAGTCAATAGAGAGCACCTGCAGTCAATGACTCCGTGACCCGCTGACTGCGTGTTCTTGAGTGCCCCTGACATAGCAAGACTGTGCTAGGCACTGGGCACGGAGAGCAAAACATGTATACAGTCAGCCTTCAAGGACTTCAGAGTCTGGTGGAGGAGAAATCAGCAAATAAGTACAAGAAATGCTTGTATACAATTAAAACTTGTAACAAGCGCTATAAAAAAAGGCACAGAACACTCTGAAAGGATATAACAAAAAGGCTATTAGTTTGGATTAGTCTGCTGGGTAAAATCTGCTAAATCCAGACTAGTGTCAAAGTGGATCAATAAAATGTACATGCCTTTTAACCATTCATGGTAAATTAATATTAATCCATAACATGCAGGTCAAAGAGATTAGAGATGTGACTGCATCATTTAACTTGACCTTAACTTACTTGTCTACAAAACAAAGGCTAGACAAAATAATCTCTCAACTCATAGCTTCTACAAGTCTATGCAAATTTAGGACAGTAAGAATATTATAAACAAGGTTAAAAGTAAACAGAATAGTTTTTTCCCCCATTTAGTCCTCATTATATAGTTCTAACACTTTTTTTTAAAGATTTATTTATTTATTTGAAAGGCAGAGTTACAGAGAGGCAGAGAGAGAGAGAGAGAGACCTTCCATCCACTGGTTCATTCTCCAGATGACTGCAATGGCCAAAGCTGTGCCGACCCAAAACCAGGAGCCAGGAGCTTCTTCTGGGTCTCCCACATGGGTGCAGGGGCCCAAGGACTTGGGCCATCTTCTACTGCTTTCCCAGGCCATAGCAGAGAGCTGATTGGAAGTGGAGCAGTCAGTAGTCAAACTGGCGCCCATATGGGATGCCAGCACTGCAGACAGGGGCTTTTACCCGCTGCGCCACAGCACCGGCCCCTCTAACACTTATTTTTAAAAGTAAAATATACATATTCATTAGAAGTAATAAGACAGGGGCTGGCATTGTGGTGCAGCAGGTTAACCTGTCACCTGTGTTAGCATCCCATATGAGGACGGGTTCAAATTCCAGCTGTTTCACTTCTATCTAGCTTCCTGCTAATGTGGTCTGGGAGGCAGTGGATGGTGGCACAAGTGCTTGAGTCTCTGTCACCCACATGGAAGACCCAGATGGAGTTCTGGGCTCCTGGCTTCAGTCTGGCCTAGCCCTGACTGTTGAAGGCATTTGGAGAGAGAATCAGGGGATGAAAGATCTCTCTCTGTTAGTCCCTCATGTGCTCTCTCTCTCCTACTTTGTTGTTTTGCTTTTCAAGTTGATGAAAAATAAGTAGTAAGTAGTCATTTGAAAAATTCTGTGAGCGGCTGGTGCTGTGGTGCAGCAGGTTAAGCTGCCACTTGCAGTGCCAGCATCTTATGCGGGTACTGGTTCAAGTCCCGGCTGCTTCACTTCTGATGCAGCTCCCTGCTAACGCGCCTGGGAAAGTAGTGGAGGATGGCTCAAGTGCTTGGGCCCCTGCACCCATGTGGGAGATGTGGAAGGAGCTCCTGGCTTCTGGCTTTGGCCTGGCCCAGCCCTGGCCATTGTGGCAATTTGGGGAGTGAACCAGCAGATGGATGATCTCTTTTTCTCTCTGTCTCTCTGTACTCTGACTTTCAAAAAAAAAAAAAATAAATACATATTTAAAATAATTCTGTGAGAATTCATATCAACTAAAGGACAATCTTGGGAAATAATGAGAAAAAATTAGACATAAATAATAGTAAACTCCAAATATCCATGTTTGAATAAAATCAAACCAAACTAAAATTCTCATTCATATATAATACATGTTTAAAAAGGAAACCCTAGTGATAAAGTTTGTAATGCTGACTGATCCCAACAGTGCTATTATACTGAAACATGCAGAAAGCAGCTAAATTAGTGTTTACGAGCATTCTAATCTCAAGTGCATATATGAGGGTATTTCAAAAAGTTCATGGAAAGTGAATTGAAAGATAAATTTATCTTGGTGCAAAAATTTTGAAATCCATGCATTGTGTTTTCATAATAGACATTTCCCATAAACTTCTTGAAGATCTCTTCTATTTAAAAACAAAGCAGATTTTTAAAAAATCCTTAGGCATTTAAACAACGAAGTTAGAAACCAGGCAAAGAATAATATCAATGAAAATAGAAGGAAATAATAAAGAAATTAAATAGAAAACAAGTTAATAAAGTATTAATTCTCATTAAGGAGGAAAAAGAAAGAAAGCAAAACTGAGGCGCTTAAAAGACAGAAAGACAAGGCTGTGGCAGTGGACACCCCGTATGTGGAAGCTGCTGTCTGAGTGCCGTCTCCCACTGAAGGGAAGCAGGGCTCCTTGGACGCAGGTAATTTCTGAAAGGAATCATATCAAAAGGAGAATATAAAAATCTTCTTCAGGGTGCCACTGACCTTTAGATGGAACAAATTTGAGCAGTAGAAAAATGATCAATTATTGATTGAAACGTCAGAAATAGAAAAATTCTCTAGTTCATAAAAATATTCAGGAATTCTCATTGGTAACCACTGAGGGGTGATAGGGTATCAACTGTGACATGTAAAAATTGATATATGAAGGGAAAGTATCCCTCCTGCCTTCCATTCTGAACTACATTTTTTGGACAATCAAACAGAATTTGATTAAGGGATGTGCTGTATGGAAGAATTTCAGTGACTAAATGTAGATGCAGCTACAGAATTAGCATATCACTAGTTTGCAACCTCTGCTAAATAATAGATCAGGGCAACAGTTATAAAACTGCCAGAACTCACTGATCAGACTCAGCAACACTGTAACTTGGAAAGCCAGACATTCTATGTCTTACAATGTTATAATAATAAGATGTATACAGCACCAACTATGAAGAATTCTCCCCCGCCCCCCAAACCTGAACTGGAATCTAACAGCCAGATGAATTAGGTCTAATCAGCATTTTGTGGGAAATACAGATGATGGAGGAGCAAGTTACATGCCATCACAGGGAAGCAGTGCTTCCAGTCAAGAATATAGACATCAGACAGAGTAACAGTCCTATTTCTCTGACAGATTAATCACAGTAAGAGTGGGAACTGTGAGAGAATAAAGAACATATTAACCAAATGCAATATAGGGACCTCGTATGAATCCTAATTGGAACAAATTGAAAAAAGACATTTTTGAGATAATTAGGGAAAATTGATTCTAGGTTGGTTATTAGATAGAATTCAGCAGAATGACTGTTAATTTCATTAGATGTAATAATGGTGTGGAGGCTGTGTTAAAATATGTCATCAATGAAATATGCATATGAAATTATCATGATTTCTGGGATTCCCATTAAAATATTTCAGCAGAGAGAATGTCAGAAGGAAAGAAAGGGAAGAAAGAAAAGTGAGGAGGCTAAGAATAAATATAGCAAGATTGAAACAATTTTTTTCCTAAAGATTTATTTATTTATTTGAAAGTTAGAGTTACACAGAGGAGAGGCAGAGAGAGAGAAAGAGAGACAGAGAGAGAGGCGTTTTCCATCCGATAATTCACTCCCCAACTGGTTGCAATGGCTGCAGCTGCGCCAATCCAAAGCCAGGAGCCAGGAGCTTCTTTCGGGTCTCCCACATGGTTGCAGGGGCCCAAGGACTTGGGCCATCCTTTACTGCTTTCCCAGGCCATAGCAGAGAGCTGGATCAGAAGTGGAGTGGCCGGGACTAGAACCGGCGCCCATATGGGATGCCGGCACTGCAGATGGCGACTTTACCTGCTAAGCCACAGCGCCAGCCCCGACACAATTTTCATAATTGCTGAAATTTGCAGTTCTTTATATTATTTCTTCTATTTTTTAAAATATTTATTTCTTTGAAAGATGGAATGACAGAGAAAGAGAGGGAGAGACAGAGACCTTCCATCTGTTGGTTCACTCCCCAAATGCTCACAACAGCTAGAGCTGGGTCAGGCTGAAACCAGGAACCAGGAACTCCATCACAGTTTCCTATGTTGGTGGCAAGGACTCAAGTACTTGAGCCATCATTTGCTGCCTCTAAGACATATCTGCAGGAAGCTGGAGTGGAGCAGAGGAGCCTGGAGTTGAAATGGCACTGTAATATGGGATGCTGGCACCACAATCAGTGGCTTAACCTGCTACACCACAATGCCTGCCCCATATCTCTTCAACTTTTACATGTTGAAAAGCCCTCTATAATATTTTTAGAAAGGGGGGAGCATAACAATAGATAAGAGGGAAATTGAAAAAGTCTAGCAGAATACAATGAAAAGAGATACTAATAAAAATACAAAATATTAAAGGGGCAATTTTCCAGTACTATAATAAATTGCCAGAACTGACCAAAGAAGAAATAGAAAATCTATAAAGTAGGACTGATAACTGAATAATCATGAACTCAATAGTCAAAAATTTCCTCTGAAAGGTTACCAGGCTTACGTAGTTTAACACGACTGCAGAGAGAGAGAGAGAGAGAGAGAGAGAGAGAGGAGAGAAGGAGGAGAGGGAGAAAGAGGAATGTCCATTTTACACAGACTGTTTCAGAGAAGGAAAAAGGGAAACCTATGTCTCAGGCTAGCACAACCTCGATGCTTGGATCTCAGAGGGTTAATCA